TCTGGACTACTATTATATATATCAGTCTATACTTGTAATATTATACAAATATAGATATTCTTTATATATAACTTAAATAGCAATTAAAATAAGATCTAAAAAGAATAGATTATAACTATATACTATAAAATATACAGTAATTTATATTATTCTTGTAATTAAATATTGCTGAGGTCCCTAAATTTTATACTCTACTATTCTGATATATAATAGACTACAGATAAAGTTTTAAGTAGATAGAGCCTGAATTGGTTGAGATATTAATATTCAAAAATATGCCCTTTTCTATATAACGCAGAGGTGAGTAGATTGCTTGCGCGAGCGGAATGCTTACCGGCTACATTAGTCCTACTACTAGTAGTAGCACGCTAGTAAGTATCATGTCACAATTGACCAATAGAAGTCATATATAAAATCCCATGTGATACTCAATTGGTCGATAGTCACGTGGTTACTGACCCACCTATTCAGTATTTTTAGAATACGCATCCATATCCATAACGTACCTGACCCTCTATTAAAACAGGGTCGGTGGTAAGATCAGTAACCTATACAGAGTAGCCTTTCTGTCTGGGTGCTGGTTCGGGTGGCGGGCTAACCAGAGTTGATACTCAGGCAGGCTAGTAGTAAAGCTATATAACTAACTATAGGTAGATAGACAAGACGTAGATCGGAGAACTACAACAGGATTAGGTTCTGATAGATATACAGATTGGTCACGTGACATACGTTTGTGGTAGTTAGGATAGATGGTGCAGGATCGCACTGAGACAATACCCCTCTTCTTACGGCTGGTCTCTGTTGAGATCAGGCCCTGGCTTATAGGGATAGCGGTGGTGAAAGTTGGCGGTAATCTGATAGATGTGAGCTAGTAATACTGGTTCAGGAGATTTCTGTCTATAGACACAAGACTAGCAGAAGCAGTAGACTCAGCAGGAACGGCAGGGGTTTATATAGTATACCGCTGTTACATATAAGTAATACTATAGAATATACAGTAATTTATTTTATTTTAATAATAAAAAATTACTAGAATTTATAAGCCCACTAGCATAGTATCATAGTATATAATAAACTGTAGATAAAATTATAAACAGATAGAATAATCGTATACCAAGGTATCGATATTCAAAATATACTATATTATACGCCCACATGAGTGACATGACCGCCCGCTACATTAACTGGGGGTTTGGATATTGTCAAGAAATTTCTAACCACGCTAACAATTTTTTAATCATGGCAAGCTGCATCCCTGTGAAGTTATCAGAGTATAAGGCAAAGAGCGTTTAATAGAAGAGATACTTTATTACTCTTTAAATTAGTTGTTACCCTATTTAACTTGTACTTCTATACCCGAGTCTTTTACACTGATTCCTGAGTCATCTGGGGCTGTATGCCCAGGCACGGAATTGACAAGTATGGTGCTAGTTGATAGGTATAGTCCGGGCGTTTGGCACTGTCTCGAACAGGAATACCAATGAGTGATTTTACGGGAGTAAAGGCCTCTAGGAGGATATTCCCGAGGAAACTCAGTAAATCAGCTGAGGACTTTGTAATTCCTTTATCTTCCACATCGATGCTAAAATATTACGGTAGAGATACCAACACGTCATATGTCACGTGACACGCATAGTATGCTTACCGCTAAGCCCAAAGGCCGTGTGTCACATGACCAAAAGTGTAACTTGTATCCATATCTTGTCCGCAAAAGCAAAGGAAAGAAGGAAAGGGCGAGCTCCACTTGGTGGTGTATCCTAGGATCAGCTACCCACGACAACACTGGAGCCAGCAATTCGCAGCAAACTCTTGCGACCAAGACTAATAACTGTGGCTTTCTGTTTGTTAGTGCTAATTGGCATTTCCGAAGGCGTACTTGGCGTACAATCTCTGTGTCAACTTTCGTTAAACAACTTGTCAGAATCAGACAACAGAAAGGTATACTCAATTAAACTCTTTTGAAGAATAACAAGAGGGGAGAAAATCAAGAATTCAAGAGAAACAGAAGGACAAAAAGCAACTAGAGGGAGAAAAAGAAACAGAGATGGCGTCACTTAGTGAAGACTTGCTTGTAACCGTCAACAAGTTGCAAGACCTTGTTTTCAATACGATTGGGAATGATTCTCTTGACTTGCCGCAAATAGTAAGTTCCCTCTGGCTTACAATCTAGACTGATAGCAAGTACTGAATTTTGAAGGTTGTGGTAGGTTCTCAGTCATCCGGGAAGTCGTCCGTGCTTGAGAACATTGTCGGTAGAGATTTCTTGCCGAGAGGAAGCGGCATAGTTACGAGACGCCCCTTAATACTGCAACTTATAAACATACCCAGCGAACGCCATGACAAACCTGACACTGACGAGGTTCATGTGCCTCACACTGCTGCTAGTGTAGCTGGACAGCATGAGTGGGCGGAATTTCACCACCTCCCTGGTCGGAAATTCGAGGACTTCGCTCTGGTGAAACAAGAAATTGAAGCCGAGACCGCAAGGATAGCCGGAAGCAATAAGGGAATCAATAGGCAACCCATCAATCTTAAGATATTTTCGCCTCATGTTCTTAATCTCACCATGGTTGACCTACCAGGGTTAACCAAAGTGCCCATTGGCGACCAACCATCTGACATAGAGAAGCAGACTCGAGCGCTGATATTGGAATACATAGCAAAGCCAAACAGCCTTGTCCTGGCGGTATCCCCGGCGAATGTCGACTTGGTGAACTCTGAAGCCTTGAAGCTTGCTCGCCAGGTAGATCCTATGGGGCGCAGAACAATCGGCGTTTTGACAAAGTTGGACCTCATGGATCATGGCACTAATGCTATGGATATTCTTTCGGGGCGTGTCTATCCCCTGAAACTGGGTTTCATTGGCGTTGTCAACAGATCCCAACAAGACATTCAATCAGGGAAATCCTTGTCTGATGCTTTACAGGCAGAAGTAGATTTCTTCCGGCATCACCCTGCCTACCGTAACATGGCGATTCGTTGTGGAACACAGTTTTTGGCAAAAACACTGAACACGACTTTGATGTCTCACATTCGAGATCGACTCCCTGATATCAAAGCCCGCTTAAATACACTCATGGGCCAAACACAACAGGAGCTTGCTAGCTATGGCAATAAACAGTTCAGTGGCAAGGAACATCGTGGCTCATTGATCCTGCAACTAATGACACGTTTTGCATCCTCTTTTATATCTTCCATTGACGGAACCTCATCTGAAATCTCGACCAAGGAACTTTGTGGAGGGGCCAGAATCTATTATATATTCAACTCCGTTTTCGGCAATTCTCTTGAAACAATTGACCCTACACACAACCTGACAGTTTCAGATATCAGGACAGCAATTCGAAACTCAACTGGCCCTCGTCCGAGTCTTTTTGTCCCTGAACTTGCGTTCGATTTGCTTGTGAAACCTCAGATTAAAATGTTGGAAGCTCCTAGCCAGAGGTGTGTAGAGCTCGTGTACGAAGAGCTTATAAAAATCTGCCATACTTGTGGATCACAAGAACTACTACGCTTTCCACGCCTACAAGCAAAGCTTATCGAGGTAGTATCTGACCTCCTTCGTGAGCGCCTGGGGCCTTGTTCAGCATATGTGGAGTCACTGATTTCCATACAAAGAGCCTATATAAACACAAATCATCCGAATTTTCTCGGTGCGGCGGCCGCGATGTCTTCCATCATTCAGAATAAACAAGAGCAGGAACGGAAATCGGTATTAGCAGAGGACAGAAGGAAGCGTGAGAAGCGACGACAGAGGGAACTCGGAGGCATCAATGGAAATACAAGCCTCTCTCCTGAGGATGAGGAAGAGCAAGCACTAGAGCAAAAGGCTCAGACCATCCCTATCAGGAGTCAGTCTGCAAAAGGCACCAGAACCATATCCCCGCATATTGGCAAGCCCCAAGAAAGCGGTATTGCGGCAACTTTGAATGGTGCAAATCAAAGTCCACATGCCATGTTTGGTGCCACAAACACCACACGCGATTCCTTTTTGAATTATTTCTTTGGCAAAGATGGCGCCCAGCCGTCTTCTTCACTTCCTCCTCAACCTCCGAGCCAAAACAGACCTTCCAACCACGCCAACGATATCAGTACCAGCCAAAGTATTCGGCGGACGGAAGTGCGCTCCCCAGTGATGCCGCCTGATGACTATGTACCTGTTCCGGAATATATTGGCGAGGTTAACTCTCTTGTAAGTCGCGATTCGTTCGAGCTTTGTTTTGGTTATGCTAGAAGCTCATACAATGCACAGGAAAATACCGAACCAACTCTCTCTGATCGTGAGCTGTTGGAGACGGAGTTGATTCGCCGCTTGATATCTTCCTACTTCGACATTGTTAGGGAAACTATTGCTGACCAGGTTCCTAAGGCCATTATGCACCTTCTCGTCAATCATAGTAAAGATGTTGTGCAAAATCGCCTTGTCAGCGAACTTTACAAGGAAGATCTCTTTGGGGAACTTCTTTACGAGGATGACGGGATCAAGGCGGAGAGGGAGAAGTGCGAAAGACTTCTAGAAACCTACAAGGAGGCCGCGAAAATCGTAGGCGAAGTCCTGTAGTCTGTTCAAAATTCGCATTTGGTGGGTGACTAGTAATCCATCGATGATTTTTGTACAATAGAGGACAATACGTCGAAGCCCTTTTGCAGCGCTAGCTGCAACTGTACATCTTGTATTTTCTGCTAGAAATCTTATTAGAATATTGATTGAACTTGTATCAAAGTCTAGTCGAACTGGGTTCAAATCTTCGGGCATCAATGTCAACCGACTTGTATTTGCTCTTCTGGATATGAAGAGTGCTGTACATTCGGGGTCTCATCCGCGAAGCATATGTAATTAGCTATATGTAAAAAAGGCCTAATGGTGAATCGCAGCCACGGACACAGATTCTATCAACGCAAGTATATTGATGAACCAGCAAGGACACAGAGGTCTATAACGTTCGCGAAGGAAAATACGCAAAAGTCTAGCTCTCACATATCGGAGCCACGCAACTATGTCAGTCTTTCTTGTTAGATAGTTTATATGCCTTCCTCAATCGTGCACCCTCGAAACCATATAAAGCACCCCCCACGAACACAAATAAGGCACCCATAAGCACACCTGGCCCAAGATTATTTCCGAAGAGGTAGATGGATAGTAACAGCGAGATGAGTTTTCGAACGTTGAGCACAATAGTTACTGTTAGTGAGGATGATTTTGCTGAAAGAAGATGAACCCCACGGATACACAGATATTGTGTTAGGGCATTCATTAGAAGATAGAAAACCTGTATTGGTATACAAGCTAATATGAACTGGAGAGACTTGAAGCGCTCAAGTTCTGCCAGCAGATGAATGGTAGTAGTGCTGATGATTGGCATGGGCACTGATTTCACCAACGCCGTTCTTGAGGTAGCAGCTAAGCCGGTGCCGAGTAGTAGGGGAGAACTTGAGACAGACCCTTTTTTTGCAGCGATAGCAGAAACTATAGAGAGTAACGAAGGCGAAGACAGCAACGCCCGCCATTGAGCCAAAAGGTGTGAGTAGGTTGGTAGGAAGAGGGGCAGAGAAAGTGTGTGCGAATAAAAGAGGGCCTCCTTCCAATGGTTTCTGCCGTAAGACTCATAGAGTCGGTCCGCGTAAACTCCTTGGAAAGCCGACAATACCATTGCTAGGGCAAGGATACCAAACCCAATCAATGTACTAGCCATAGTGGAATCATTCTGGTGATACCCAGCGCTTGTGGATTGACCTTTCGTACGAGCATCCGCCAACGCTGCAGCGATGACACCTACAGTAAGCATAGCTACCGCGAGGATTTGGCCGCGTGAGTATCTCTTAGCATTGAATGCATAACCAACGAGCATGGACGCCACGGGCCCCCCGGATCTCAAGATAATGTGTAGTGGGACAGAGATCTTGTACGCAAAGGCCCAGTTGTTTAGAAGATTGACGGTCACAAAGAAAGTTGTGTATACCAGCCATGATCTCAGAGGTATTACGCGTCGACTGAGAAACAGTGACTCAGGGCCCGCCGACAGAGACAGAAAGCTTGGAGACGTTAACAATGCAGTCAGGATAAATTGTGCAAACGTTATGAGGGGTCCTTGCGATGCGAATATTAGAGACGAAAAATAAACCGTTTTTGGAGCCGAAGGAAGGAATAGGAATTACCTGAGCTCGGTTGCTCCCTGTCGCGTCGTCAGTTATCGCTTTCGGTACTTCATTTGCACACACGACTTACTTAATAATGGCTTCCAGGGCAAAGACCTGTACTCCAATTGTCAGAAAGAGGGGCAATTTAGCATTTACTGCCCACATACATTGGCACAACAACCACCAAAAATGAGCGAGATCATGAAAGCTATAGTTGTCCAGCCGGGAAGGGCAGTATAAGCCGCAGCAGTGGTTATGCTACCTAGGCTCGCATATGGCTCCTTTGGTCCATCACACTCAGTCAGATGATCATCAACCTTTCTCGAGTGACCGTTCGCTACCACTGAGCGATCCACGCCTCGATTCTTTAAGGGTCCGGCATTTTGTTTGAGCATCTTTTCTTGATGGGAACGACTATATGAACCCCATAGAAAGGCAAGCCTTGGGTTGCAAAAGTCGATGGACGGGTCTGTTTAGCGCAATGGTGAAGTTGACAGGTCTCTGGGGTTGAGCTAAAGAACACATGGAGCACTATTTGAAGGAACAGGTGACGGCAGCTAACTGAGTCAATTGGGGCCTGATTGGAATCACTATTTAACTACTATCCGTCACACCGCCGACCCCCTAAGCAGTAGGGGGTCGGCTACGGCTCAACGTCGCTTTTTCAATATATCGATGTTTTTAAAGCTATTTATATTACACAGAAATATAATTAATTTATAAACAATAATAACTTTATTTAAAAGCCTATATATATAATTTAAGAAAATAGATTAAAGAAATAGATTAATATTACTAAATTAGTATATAATTATAGAGTTCTATTTATATACTTATAATTAATAAAATCAGTAAAATTATTAAATAATAATTTAATTTAGTATCTAAAATAGAAATTCTACTATAGAGTCTATAACTACTATTTTAGTAGATGTAGATATTTTAATAGAAAATCAGTATATATATACTCTACTAAGATATTTTGGCTATAATATTATAGAGTATAAAATTAATCGATATTCTAATTATTAAACTATTTAAATTTTCTATAGAAATATATAGTTTTCGGGGTTTGAATAGCTTTATTTCTAGGACATATATAGAATTCTGGTACAATGGCCGAGCGGCTTACCGGTTACATTAGCTCCTTCCTTCTTGTTGACAAAATTAGTTAGTTAACGTAACCGGTAAGCAGGTCGGTCATGTAGGCAGGCTGGTCACTTCCGTATTCCATATAATATAGCATAGTATTTTTGAATATTAATATATGAATAAAATTATATTCTATATATTTAGTAATTTGACATAGTATCAGTAGTTATAGATGTCCTTAATATATATCTTGAATATCAGTAGAAATAAACTTCCAGAAATATAAATTACAGCTATATATAAATATTACCATTATACTGTAAAATATACAGTAATTTATATTAGTCTGATAAATAGATAGAATATAAATGTACCAAGATATCGATATTTAAAATATGCTATACTGTATGGAATATAGAGGTGGCCTGCCTACATGACTGACCCGCTCACGGTTACGTTAATTAACTATATGAGACTGATTAGCCATGCATCTACCTTGCCACAACATAATTAAGGATGATTTCAACATAAGTACTCCGTACGGATACAATCGCGAGGCTTCTGGCATAGTCTTATCGGGCAATCTTCCTTAAATGTTCACCTCCTCCATTGCACCCAAATATCATGAGATATACTAGTGTAAGCTTCGGCTGGATGCCTGGATTAAACTAGAACACAGGATCAGCTGGTGCCTGTGACGAGAGATGTCACAAATCGTCAACAATATCATCATCGCTCAAGATAAGCTTCTCCTCCTGCTCGTAGTTAACTGGCAGCTGGGACCCAAAAGTGCTGCTTTGGAGATCTGTTGAATGTAGCCTTTGAGAGATATCGTGACCAGCAGAAGCCAAAACTAGACTGTTTCCACTAAGGTTATTTCCCTGGCAATTGTGTGGGCACCCGGCTCCATGAAATCCAGTAATCCTTCGAAGCTGGGCGATCTCGGCCTCACCGCGATGGATCTTTGTGAGATATGGTAGGTGGTACAGCACGAGATCTTCTCGAGGTATCATGGTCACGATTCCCGCTTGATCATCGCGGTAATTTTCTACACAATCTGACTTGCATCTTGTCAACGATGCGGACCAGCTTGGATCCGGGTCTGACGATGTCCTGCGAAATGAATTCAGCAGCCTTTTCACCCAAACATTCGTAAGGCCTCCAATCTCCTCTGCCTCCTGCATCAGCCGCAACGTGCTTGGAAAGAGCATTTTATGGGCATCACTCGATCGATCTGCACGAGTTGATGTCGTTATACGTCTTTTCACTGGGTGAGGGAGAGCAAACAGTAAACCACGAGCAGCAACTTGATAACTTATGTCTTCCTGTCGCATTACATCGACACCGGCACTGCTTCTATTCGTACGACTCCCATACAGCCCTTTATGATCGACACATAATATATCACTGTCTGACAGAGCGACTATACATGCATCGACACAATCCACAAACGATGGGCCATCGCAAGATGGTACATAATTTTCATGCAGGGCACTGATGAAAGTTTGTGTATCAGTCCCTGTCTCTTCCACAAGCTCATTGACAGGGACCTGTGAGACTTTTGGTCTGCCATGATGTCGCATATGCTCTGGAGGCGATGGTAATATAGGACCTTCGGTTGCGACACACGTATCGTCTCGCTTGTTGTATACAATCTTCCCGACAGCATGAAATATTCCTAGGCTAGTCTCCCTTTGTGTTACTAGCTTCAGTGTCTCCTTCTCCGTGGGTGTGAGGATTACGTTGTTGCGAGACGGCTTCTTTACCCCTCTGGCAGGGGCTCCCCAACGCCCAACAAGACAAAGAAATTCTAGGGAAGCGACTGCACTTCGAATGTCCCCTGAACTAGAGATGCTTTGCAATATGGCAGGGCCTGGATCCTTATTGCGCCTGGAATGGCGAGCTTCCTTTTCCAAAATCAATTTCAAGGCTTTGTACATGAAGGTTGGAGCAATACTGTTGAAATCAACGATGGTTGTGCCGGGGTGATTGAAAAGTTCTGGTCCTAGTAGTCGGTGGACTGTTAAACTTTCCGACGAGGAACCTGATGTGAGATGAGTTTCTGAAACGATTATCACAATAGGAGAGCTGGCTTGGGCTTTGATCCCACTCCGATTAAGTCCATTGGAGGGCAATGTAGCCTCCATAGCAAGATACCGCTGCAAAGATAGCCTGAATGCAGCCAAACTAGAAGAGCCTCGATGCAAGAGAGTTGGGAACTCTTCAACCAAAATGATACGCTGCTGAGCATAGCGATTAGAGTCTCGTGGAAGGTCAGTTGGCCCGTCTAAATCAAGCTTTCTAAACTGGTCACCGCGGCCTAGGAAATCTTCAAATTGAGTAGCAACGGATACATATGCTTTTGTAGCGAACTCTGAAGCTGGGGGGTTCTTCCACTCGAATATATCGAACCCTAACGTCCGAGACAATATGTTTATTGTGGTTGTTTTCCCGCTCCCCGCAGGACCCCGAAGGACAAGTAGTTTCTGTTACCGTCAAGACATGAACTCCAACATCGCCGCAAATACAACTTTGGGTCGGAATTACATAAAAGACAGAAAGTAGAAACTTACACGTTCTCTAGTTCCTGCAAAGGCGTTGCGAAGCCAACTTTGTACATCTGACACCTTTCTCTTGTGGACCGCCAACTCGTCTAGATTTGTAGGAGAGTACTGCTGCGCCCAAGGTAGCTTATGAGCCTGAGGGGTGATTGATGATGAGCTGTTATTTTTTTGATCAGAGACCATTGGCAGGAGGAAGCGTTTGCGTGTGTTCGTGGATTTACGCGCAACACTTGTGTTTCTTTTTGGTGACTGCACCCGCGGAGGCGTTTGGTCCTCGCTGATATCTCGTGCTACCTCTTCGTTCGCGAGTTGTTGAGTAAATAACTCATCGTAGGAATCATAATCATCATCTATTATATCGTCGTCATTGTTGTTGTTGTTGTTTTCCCCACTGCCATTCACCCCTTTTATTGCTTGCTTTGTGGGAAGACACGTCGTCTCGAATTTCTGGGAGGACCATCTTTGTTCGCTATTTGTAGGTTCAAAGAATTTCTGGAGGGACGATGTTGTGCGCGTCTTCTTATCGGAGGGCGGAGAGGAGTGGTGGACTTGGAGACCGGAGTAAGCTCGATTTGGGTCTGACGGGATATGTTTCGTTTCAAGTTGTGAAGGTTTAGTTGAAAAGGTTACAGGATCAGCTTTGCCCCTTCTAGAAGGCGTGTGAGTAGGTCTCGTCTGGTTATTCTCCGTGTCAGCGTCCTGATCTAACGGATGGATGGCCAATCTCCGCTGACGTTTGCTGGGGCGATTAGCCATCATTGGGAGATATGGACATATGCAGAAGTCATTGTAAGGGAGTTCCTTGGAAAGACATCAAACGTGTCTGTTATGCCTGTCCCTTCAATAAAACCAAAGAGCAAGCCCTTCAACGTTATCGATAGGCTCAATGATTAGAGAAAGGATGTGCTTGTTCCCTATGTTTCAGCGAACGGTATTATAAGTTAGGTTACGTACGGTACCGTACCTCGTCTCAATAAGCCAAGAAGGTATAGATTGATGCATGCATGTACATAATACTATCGTCGTCGACGTAATAGTAGATTAGTAGTAGTAGTAGCAGCAGCAGCATCCACGTAGGAGCTTACTGGGGCCAAGGTACGGTGGATACAATTATGTGACTAAATACTAGGTGAGATAACAATTACGGGGCTCGACATTTAGATGATCTAGTTTAGGTGGTAGGAGAGAAAGCAGAAAAAAGGGTTGGGGAAGGATGAGGAAGAAAACAGACAGGGTATATATTGATCAATATCAAAGTCAAGCTAATTAATAACAGCACATGGACAAACATTCAACTGTTTTTGACATGGCTCGCTACTATAGTTCCATGGGTAATAAATGACGAGAAAACAAAACAAAAAGCAGAAACTATGACAAGTATCCTAAGCCCCCCCAAAAACATCATAATAATAATCATCCTCTAGGTCTTCCCGTGAGGGAACACCTGGAGGTTCACCCGCGAATACTCCATCATCGAACCTAACATTCAATAACCGGATCTTAAGCCCATAGTCGCTGACCAAATTTACCAATTTGCTTGTCTCTGCTGTGATAGGCTGTTGGTTTAGAAGCATAAGTAAGCCGTCAAGCCACTCAGATGCGATGCTTGGTGATTGTGGCCGCAGAGTCAATAGAACTGCTTCCCTGTGAGTTGCTTTACTGGCTGAGCGTGCATGGCCTTCGATCTTTCTTGAGTCATCTGTGGACGAACCAGACTGAGCATGGCCATGAATTGTGATCTTGGTAGCAGAGACGCGATGCGACACACTCTTGACCGTCGACGACGAGGAGTCATCGGAGGTTGCTGAAACATTCGAAACTACCGAAGATACAATTGAGAGATCGACTGGTAGAGTAACAGATGATTAGCTCAGTAATGACGTGGGGGAACTGAAGAAAAGGAAGCATTCTTACGCTTCTCTGGAAGTGCATCAAGCTCTGGGCACTTTGCTTTTACGCTGTCGAAATGCCCAAAATGCAAAATCCTTCGGTTATGTGAGAGCTGGACAAATTTCCAGCTGGAATCCCCCGAAGCCACCATCTCCGCCGTGGGACTGCTGTCGTTAGGAAACCAAGCACCTTGCAGCAGACATCTAATTCTCTGTTCCTTGACAAACAGTAGGGCTTCATGGTGTAGCTCTTCGCGTACTTGTCGCAAATGCTGCCCCCAAACATCCTCATATGTAAGCTCCAGGAGTTCCATTTGTAGTTCGCGAAGCCGAGAATATTCGAATTCTGCCAGGTCGTCCTCCACATCTTGTACATCTCTTGTTCGTGGTGCTCCCCCAACAACGGATTCGACAAGGATACGAACAAGTTCCACGATTTTCTCGTAGTCTTCCACTTCCGCGCCAGTGACCTTCCATAATCGGAAAAAGGCATGTAGACCCGCGACATGTAGGCGGGTCCAATGTAACAGCAAGGGTTTAAATATTTTGTCGAGGTTAGCGCGAGACTCTAATATTAGGTAGCTTTTCGCATCCTCCATCTCTGACTTATCAACCTCAAAATGCTCGTAGAGGATCTGTGTGACAGACAAAGAAGCGCGCGCTATGGGACACCGCTTTTGCGCCGGCTTCGTCGACTGCTCTAAAAGCAATTTCTGGAATTCATCTTGGTAGTTTCTGATATAATCTGCCAGATCCATCATTCCCAGGAAACCCATGGCTTCAAATTGCACAGTAGGGCTCTCCGACTCGAACCCCAGTCGGCGCCATTTTTCTGGGTTGTGCCTTTTTGAACGTCGTGCCTCATTGCCACTCTCAGTCCCCTTTTCTAGTTCCCGTTCACTGTTACTAGCCAAGTGTATACCTTTAAGTGCTCGTCTATGTTCTGGCTTTTCCAAATCTAGCGCGATGTCTCTCCATTTCCTTAGAAGAACCTTGGTTAAAGATTGGAATTCAATCAAAGGATGCGCATGATCCTGTAATGCGCTACTTTGCATCAGGGCATAAACTGCTCGAATCACACCCAGATCCTGTAGTTTTTGGATAAACTTGGGCCATTCTAATTCGGAATCGTTCGTGATTGAGTCGCGCATAAGAGAATTTATAAGTTGAAGCGCATTGGCGCAAAGCGCATGATCGGCCGATGAGAGCCTGCTAACAAGCATTTCCAAAAACTGCGGATAGATAGCGATCGCGGGTTTCAAAGCACGAAAGCCAAAAGTCCCATTCTGCGACAAGCGACCACCTGTATGAGGGTGCGATACAATGGAAACCAGGATAGACATTGCACCACGCAGAATGTTGACCAAAGGATGCGTTACTATAAGTTCGACAATCTAAAAGGGGCAGGGTCATTTATCAGCATGGATATTGACTGATACAGGGCATTGATTAATGCGCGCCAATCCCACGACATACTCTTTCAACCACTTCTTGATCGACGAACTCCCATCCTTTGTCCACTTCTAATAGTCTGGCAAGGCTTGTAAGGCTATATGCCAGTGTGTTTCCACTGGCATGTAAGCTCAAATAGCGTAGTCGATTTAGGCCTCCTTCTGCAATAAAGATATCGGCAAACGATGGGTCGCCAATGCTACTTTGAAGTTTGAAGACTGCCATTTTTCGTACCGCATCTTCGTCGCTCCCTAACCTCTCAACTAGCTCGGAAATATTGTTTTCCATCGCGAAGATGCCACAACTGTTCCAAGTCGATGATCCCAATAGTGTCACTCAGATTGTAGAGACTAGGTAAGGCGAGTCAAAAAATCACTTCTGCGTTACGGGGGTTATGGCAAATGACGTTGATTATGGGAAGCGACAAACGGTTATGTGCTCAGAAATATTGACGATACGAGCACCCATAGGGGTGATATTTAAGAAAAGGCGATGGATAACAGGAGCGGCTCTTGACTCAGGGATTCGTTGAAGCCAAGAACAAGGTAAGATGGCTGGTAAGGAGTAGTAACTAGACTAACTTGAGAGGTAGTTCATCCAGAATATACTAGTAGGACCCACATGGGCATACTTAAATGGGTGTGGTGGGTAGTCTGAGTTTTAAGACTGTACAGAGTACAGAGTATGGAGCAATGGAGTACTTATTGAACTAAATACTCTGTATGGAGGCTAATGGCGTGAGAGTGGGTAAATAACAAGTCACTGAATGATTCATTGCTACCAAGTAATTTGATAGGAACCTCTACCCTTACACTACAAGAAAGGCATGCACTAGCACTTGAGTCTATACCTACTGGACTTCTTGTATATTATATTTACCAAGACTTTGTACCTTGCTACAACAGTAGGTGCTGTAATTGACGTTACGCAAGTAGTTTACATATCTACTACTACTACTACTACCGTGTAGGAGTTGGTATCTATAGGCACATACAATGTACTCCAGAATATATACATAGTACAATGTAAAACTCTTAGTACAGCTAGGGATATCTATGTAATATACTACTAACCAGTACTATACACCACAACCGAACTAGAGCTAAAACACAGCGGATCTTTTACCTGTACCTGACGCCAAGCTTAAGCCTCGAAGTGTGTTTTATATATTATCTTCACCTCTCTTCTCATTTCCCTACATCGCTTATGGCGGGTTAGCGTACCGCGTACGTCGACTGAAAAAAGGCACCGAATTCATTCCATGCCATTTATTTGATTTTTCTCTCTTTACCCAGCACTCATCCCATTTCCCTGTTTGCAGCTCTCTAGCCCTTAGGTATTTTCTCCGATGAACTTATCCACGTATTTCCCGACAACAGCTCCCCGTTCCACCATGCCAGGCATCATGCCTGAGAAGGACAACATGTCTATTCTAAATTCACAACTGAAGAAGCGAAAAAGGGATCTGACTCTGTCCGACGCTGTTAATATACCTAATACGTAAGTAAGACAATTACACCCGGGGCACGGCTAAACAAACAAAAAGAAAGAAAGGGAAAGAACACAACAATGAGGGTTTGATTTGAGCCGATAGACTGGGAAATTAACTAATCTGAAGGATATGTCCTACAGTACCAAACCTATTCCGACAACACCTTGTACATCAAACGCCCCGTTTTGTTTAGATTGTCCAGAGCTGGCTGGTGATAACGGAGAATTTTCCGCTCTCCAGCAATGCATTCCTCGAAAACGAAGAGTTCTTCAACAGTCATATATCCATCCACAAAGTACAGAGGCCTGGTCGAATAGCCTCACGCAGCCGCCAGAGTCGAGCATAACGCAGGTGAAGATGCTATCACCAAATATATGTACCCCCGGAACCTCTAATGTATCGTCCCCTCCTGTATCTCCTAGAACCCTTGCTCCGAGTCCCCACTCGCAGCATAATACTTGCGCATCTGCTTCATGTTTACGACCGTGTCACATATGCCACAGAAGGCCAACCACCAAGGAAGTACTTGATGCATATGTCGACTGTGATTTGTGCGGCGAGCGTAGCTGCTATATTTGTCTCCGCCATTGCGATGCTATTCATTGCAGTGGCTCTATATATCTTCTCGGGGAGAGTCAACTGTTCAAAGATGCCTCGAACTGGTTACAAGACGACACAAACAAGAATAAGTCACATTTCAGACAGCCGAGGAAGATATGCTCGTGCTGTGCGGTGGAAGGAGTAACAGAAACAGGAATAGAAGTGGTTCGATGTTTGGACTGTGTGCGTGATCATTTATCACACTGGCAAGTCCATCCCATAGCCCAGCAGAGACAAGCAGTACCTGGTCATCAAGTTACATTTGGGAGATAATAGTCGTGAGCTCGGGGTTCACTCTATTAAGACCTCGAAGTTGACCCGTGACTCTCAGCCCATAAGCGGATGATCTAATCAGTTTGATGACGAGACAAATTGACATGGTAGAATGCCTCAATATCTTGCTCGTACTAAGCAATTGATCAAGACATCCATTTGTTATTCACAGTACCGATGTTCTGAGGTTTCTCTACTTAGAGAAACCAGTTCGGAGTGGTATATAGCCTATGCCCCCTACAGCGGCTAATATCAGAGTTAATGGAGATATATGTGGATTGTCTTAAATATGCTGTACATACACGTAAAGTGCCCACAGTACTAGAACATTCTACAGCATACGGATTACAGGGCCACGAATACCTCATTTAGAGGCGCATCTACCAAAATATGCATAGAGTAAGCCAGTAAACAAGCCCAACGCTATTGTAAACCAGTACGAGATAAACCAATAGAAAATCATGATTTTCCAATGCAAAACAACGCTGCCTGGGTTTGCTAATCTCATCCAAATACTGGGAAAGGCACAAGTACATCATGTACATAAGCAGAATAAGGGACGCATTACATGGGAAGAAATAGCCTACCCTACGGTATAGTCATTCAAATGTTTTAACTAAGACCAATTATATAGACACCGCAGGACACGCTGCCTATTCATGGGGATCTAGTCAATCTGTGATATGCATATAATCTTACACCAAGCATGTGTATGGCCTGTGGGAATTGGAGGTGTAGTTCATTATTCTCGGACCATCTTCCCAAAGTCACTCATCAAAAACAATATGACGCTTAATATTAAGCCTCGATTTAGGTCCTTTCAACAACTGGAAGGATGTGAGTATGGAAATAGAAAGACAGTCAGGAGGGGAAAAAGGCTCAACGACCGAATCGCATTTGAGCCCCTGCATAATGCCATAGGCCCCTAAGAAAGCCCTGATATTCAACAGCCTCCCCATACCCCGTCATGCTGCTGCTCTTGTCACCTGTACAATACATCTCCGTAAGTCGAATATGCCAGGGTGGATAACCATCTAATTTCAAAAAGGGCCTGAATACTAATAGTAAGTCAGGCTCTGGTTTTACTGAAATGTCCGGAATAGATGCTGTTTTGTTCCCAATGGAGGTCGGTAATGCTGTCTGAGATGGCTGTGTCGTGATCTCGCTAATCTCTGCATCGACCAGTTCTACTGTGATATCTTCTGGCGATAGTTTTCTATTCTGCGACATCTCCGCGAGCGTCTTTGTCAAGTCCACAAATGTTTCCCGGCCATCGGTAGCCGACAATAGAAGCACAGTCAGAGAATCAGTGTTGGCTTTTTCAGTTGAGCTGCTGTCCTGTGGTTGATACACAGAGTGATGAGGAGCAAAAAGTCGTAACGTTGGTTGTTGGGAAGGAGAGCCGTAATACGCAGATAGCTTGCCTGTAACGATGCGGTGCAGAGTGGGAATGCATGATTTTAGGACCCCTAAGCAATATAATCGTTAGGAAAGTTATTTCGCACCGTTTCGATTTGTAGAGGACAGACGCACCACTCTTCTCATAAACGCTTAACACAGGGATCCCGGCACTGACACTCCACGCAGCAAGCTCTGCCACTTCATCCATTAAAACTGTTAAAGAATCCTCCTCCTGCCGCAGTGATAATATAACACTCAAGTGCTCCGGCAAACGATCCAAATTCTTGACATCCTTTCTGATCAATTCGGGGGTGCGGTGATGATAATAGACGATGGCAAACACCCTATCCACGACGGCATGGTAGCTCTGGGCGAGGCGAACGACGATACCAAAGAAAATGTGAATGAGAGTGTAGGTCAGCTGGTGCAGTTGTGACTTCAGGAAAGTCCGGATAGGGGTCTTTTTGGGCGAAGTTTTTCTGCGCCGCTGCAGTTGCCGATGTGGAAGCTCCGAGGGGTCTGGTAGGTATGGTTCCAAAAGGCTCTCACGATCAGCAGCACTAAGTTTTGTCCCTTGGGCACGAACGTCATCTCTGAACAGCTCTTTATCCCGTTGTGATACCATGGTTGAGTGCGAATGCCCGAACAGAAGTTGAGATGAGCCTGCCAGGTGTTTGTTGGATCAATTAACGTGCCGAAAGTCTGAAGTGGTCAGTGTGAGCAGGCAGGAAGGTACCAAAGCGCGCGTTGTCTTTCCAACTATCTCCTTGCGCAAAGCATCGTCAAAGGCCTCGTGGATGACTACGTTTACACTAACATTACAGGCCCAGGCAACCATAGAGCCCGATTTACTAATTGGACAGGTCAGTAAACAAGCGCATTTGATCCATACTCCCACTCCTATCCATTATCTACTCGAGGTATGTACGGAGTATGTATGTACATATGTCTGGACATACAGTGTATTGCCACAATGACGATCTAATGGTCACAGCCATTGTGGCTGGACATTGGTGGCATATGTTTTTGTATTAAAGCCATCTGTCTCCTTTATTTTCCTTGCCTGATGATGCGGTAACCTAATATGGACAAATGTAGGTAATGTAAATAAGCAAAACATTATGTGACTGTATGTACCGTACTGTACATGTACTAAGTTCTGCACGAACATATAGTATGTATAGTACATACGGAGGTATGACTTTACTACCGAGTGGTAAAGTGGCCTTTAGGTAGTTAAGGCCTACTACTAACGGTATGGGATCTGCAAACCTCTTGAGAGTTACCGGCCATACCTGTTCTACAAGACAGTCTGACTTCATCTCAGTGAGTACATCTAGGGAGACAGGCCCATTTACTTGTCACAGGCAGCCCTATAAGTTACGGCGGAGGAAAACACAATTACGCAATCGAACTAGTCGGCACTTAATCTCCAGACTCCATACTAATAATACTACTAGTAGTAGGAGGCTATTATCCTGCATTCCCTTGAAGTGAAACTAAGATAAGAGCTCCGTTTTCCACGCCCATCAGCAGTTAACGGCTCTAGATGCAAGCACATACCTTAAACTGCATCGTATAACAGTACTAAGCTGTTTAATGACCCGATGCCGACGGAGCCTTGCCGTTCGTTGGAAAGATGCCAGACAGTGCGTCCATTACCTCTTCAAACCCCACGTCGCGATCTGTCTTCCCTCAGGGCCCCAGTTTCACTCTTGAGGACTTTTCGAGCCGTGATTTTATAGTCAAAGAATTCATCGAAGCACTTTCCGACAGTGCCATTTCAAACCGTCGTTCTACGCTAGGCCCGACTACTGGGAACCAACTATTCGATCCCAAACCACTCATTCGGACCCTCGAACATGCACAGAGAAGACTTGGTGAACTTTCTGGTGACTTAGAGATCAAGGAGAACGAGCTTTCAGCCGCAGTCCGCCGAGCCGAGGCCCAGCACTCACAGAATATAAGTACACTTGGCAGGAAGCTGAAACAGACCATTGAATCTTTCCAACAACTTGATACGTCGCTCAATGGGACAGGTGCTGGAGCTGGGCTCTCCGTGAGCGAACTTTCAGGGTCGACCGGTAATATGGCTGTTGAAACAGGCCGAAAGCTTGAAGAACTTGACCGACAGAGACGCCGAGCACTTGACGCTCACTTCCTTCTCGAGTGTTGGGATAGCGTAAGTAATAGGGGAGACCTTACGCTTTTGGAGAACCTGAGGAGGTCCGGTACTGGTGAAGCTAAAGTACGTTCCGCACAGATAGCGCGGCAGTTACTGAGGATTAGCCAAAGGCTTGACCCGAAAAGCTGGAACGACTCAGGAGGAAAGAGCAACGGCCCATCTGGGGATGGGTCTGCAGATGAGGGTAGGATTGAAGAGACAGTGTTGACCAGACTGAATACAAGGGAGATCATTGAGAAGTTCTCGGAGACGTTAGAGAAAGATCTCCTAAAGCAATTCGACGACTTCTATCGTAAGGCGAACTTTGAAGGTATGAAAGATTGCGCAACTGTGCTCCAGGATTTCAATGGGGGCTCTAGTGTTATTGCTCTATTTGTCAACCAGCACCAGTTCTTTATCGATCGAAGTCAGTTGGTTACAGAAGAAGTAGGGGGGGATCCAGAAGCCTGGGAACAACTTGCAGACCCAGATTCGGAGCCTCTGAAGGTGGACCCTAGTCTTCAGTCACTCATTGACGAGGTTAAGGTCGTAATTCAGGAGGAATCAGCTATTATAAAGCGAGCCTTCCCCTACTACGAGCAAGTCCTCGGGAAGTTCTTGCAGCGCGTGTTCCAGCAATCCATTCAACAGAGACTTGAAATGGTTCTGGAGAAGGCCAATAGTATCTCATCACTCGCCTTCTTACGCTCCCTACAGAGCTCTCGAAGTTACATCAGCACTCTAGTCGATGATTTAAAGGCTCATGGTTTAACCGAACACCCTGATACCATTTCCGCTCAGACGGCATTGGTTCTCGATCAGCAACTTGAAGACCTATTCGTGCCATACTTTGTTGGTTCCTCTTATATCGAGAGGGAGAAGAAAACATTGGAAGAGCTGTATACATCTTTGCTTTTCAAATTCACCACATTCCATGCACGTAGAAAGAAGGCAGCAACCACCTTCATGGCATCTCTTTCGAAGTCGGGTACTGAACTTCTATCCTCTGCACGGGACGCGTATATCAATCGCCTAGAGTCCTCAGATTACTCACCGACACAGCGAAGGATGTTACTTCAGGTGGCGGGCTTGAGGGATGCCAATGACCTCTTAAGACGAACTGATATCAAACTCACCGAAGAGGATGGCCTTCCTAGCATATCACATGCCAAACGAATGCTCAAATGGCTTGCTGAGGGAGTTAGCCGTGGCTTGGAGCTAAGTGTAAGCAGCGAAACCCCGAAGGACATGTTGGCTCTGTTGACTCTTCTCCTTTCTATGATGGGAGAAGGTTATATAGAGATTTGTCTTGATGCCGCATTGGAGACGGCAACGTCACAAGAATCAGGAAAGACGGAACCTGATCTTGCTTACCTTCCAGCGGTCCGGAACGCAATCGGCATCGCAAACTTGATGGTAATGTGCATAAACACTTTACTCATTCCCCTAGCAACAGGGAGCATCACTGTTCGCCGAGAAATGGAAAAGAAGACAAACTTGACAACTATGCGAATCGAGGAGAAAGTCAATACGATTGAGCAGAAAATCATTGATGCTTCTTTGACGTGGATTAATAAACTTCTTGCTAGCCAAAGGAAGAATGACTTTCGGCCCAAGGAAGGAGACAATGCAGCTTGGTTGGAGAAGCTGCAGACACCGGTCAGTTGGATGATTGCCTGGTAACTATAATGCCGTGCTAACGGATAAATCTTTAGACTTGTGCGTCTATTTGCACTTTTCTCTCTCGTGTGCATAACATGACAGCAACATCGCTACCGCCTAGTGGCTCCAATCTCCGACAGTTGCTAACAGAGATAGCCATGGGAACCCGCAGTTTACTTCTAGAGCATTTTAAGCGATTCGCGGTCAATGGACCTGGCGGCCTCATGGTCACTAAGGATATGACACAGTACACAGACCTCCTCAAGTCTTGGGACATAGACGAGCAGGTCAAGGGCCCTAGCGGTGCGCTGGACGTCTTGCTGGAGGTTGGTAGCCTTTTCGTTGTAGGTTCTGAAGCTTTACGAGAAAAGGTTTGGAATGGCGCAGCAAGTAGCAGCAGCAGGCCTGGGAACAATAGTGGGACAAGTCCTGGGCGAGGCGCTGGGGGAAGTGGCCAAGTCGAAGCCGGCCTCAGCGTGCAAGAAGTCCGGGCTTATGTCTCTCGAAGAGAGGATTCCAACACAGCTGCGATGCAGAATGTTCTCAGTGTCCTTTGAGTCTCGCTTGTTTATGGGTGCCTCGTTATTCTGGTGACTTCGTATGGTATGTAGCCTGACATGGCATCTTGTTTCGAGGTCAGCTCTTCTCGTGTTGGAATACTTTTTTTAAGGTTTATAGACCCATCTCTAAACTTAGACAGCGGTATCGCTTGACCAGTTCCATTGTTCCCGTTTTTGTAAAAACTAGGAGGGCTCTACTTCCATGCGAGCTGCCATGCAACGGGGTGAAACCTTTACCTCAGTCGTGGTGCACAACGCTCATAACAAGGCAACCCAACGGCGAAGCGCAGAGACAGATAATCGGATTTACGTGACACCCATTGATCAGTTGTATCAAGCCTACCTAGCTTTTTCATGGGGATTTGAGTACTGGGGATCACCATGTCTAGACAAGGTATACACAGCATCATAGTTACAGCCGTGGTCTTTATTATTGTCGCACTTGCACATGAACACCATCGGTTGTATCTTAGAAGAGTGTAACGGTGACTACTGGATAATATGTACATACTGGAGAGGCTCAATTCTCTCTCCCTCTCTTTTTGGTGGCGTAAGCCTCTCGGAACTTATCCTTGCTACTGATAGCACCCATTGTGTATCGCATAACCACACTCCCTGCTCATTCAATCGATGTATTAGCCGAGATCCTACGGTCAGAATACGTCTAGATCTGATGACCATTTATTATTAATTACCTCCTTCCGCCTCCCTTTCTTTCCTTTCCGAGTCGATACCTAGATTATTTTCTTTCATATAATCTCCATCTCTCTTTCACACATGTATAGATACATATCAATATTGTATGCATACAGTTTTCGCCCACAGCATTATATGGTAGATGTACAGTGGGTTTAGTTGAAGTGGGAAAGGCGTAACAGAGAAGAAAAGCATATACCATACCAACGGGAGGCGTAATGTGTAAACCGAGTACCCACCCTGGCGCTAAGAAGGGAAGAGAAATCTGGGTATCACAGTTGTCACATTATTCTGATTCGTTGTGTAGTTTGTGTGTATACTAATTTATGTGTGCATTGTGACCCAACTTAACTCGGCGCCAAGAAAAGATACTAATACTAGAAACAAGTACCACGTACTAAGGTACCTTCCCTCCTGCCATCCAATGACAAATAAGTATAAGCATGTGTCGTTGATGAGGTGGTAGTACTAGTTTGGTCTACACAGCTGGTAGAGGTTGACTTGGTCATCCCCATAGGATGAGCTGTTCCATTGTCAGTGCTATGGGCGCGCACGCGCGCACGCGCGCGCGAAAGGATAAACCAACCAAAGTTAAGCTCTGCTTGCAATCCTTCATGCTAGTGCCCATTCACACAAACTACTCTGGAGTAAGTAGCCTGAGCGTGAGGGGGAAAAGTGGAGAATCTCTGCTGTACGGTCTGCTGGTGGTGCAATTTTGCCGCTGGAATGAAAAGGGATCCGTATAGGGGACACTCGACCTGCAATTGGGAAACGAGAGTCCCTCTCGATGGATGCTCTATAATATCACCGGAACATAATTGGTTTTTACTTTAAAAGGAATGCAAACTCCCACAATGCCATGCATGCTTGAGCTTTTCAGGAACTTGGGCACGGCTACTACAGTGAAGCAGGCTCGAGTATATATACTAATAACCGCCTATCTTGATACTCCGCACTCCTCCCTTGTACGCCTGGCCTTTCTGCTTATTTTGCTACGTACTTGAAATTGCGTTGGAAGGAAGCGGATAGAGAAGAGGAGGGGGAAAATGAGGGGGAAAGCACACGAAGAATTGTCTTTTGAATCTCTGCCTCCAGCTTTGCAACGAAAGGTACGTGAAGAGAAAGTTATTATTCTTTTTCTTAGTATATCCCGTACTGCAAAAGTTGGGGATTGTTGCGACTGTCTTGACTTCACTCTATCCGTGTTTTCGAATTTGGGCATTGTCTATCCTATCCTTCTGTCACGTCTTCCTTTCCCTCATCCCCTTTCCTTCGGATTCGAACGGTGAATATTGCGGGGCCCTCTAGCGTCACTCTAGGAGCAATAGCTTGGTCCGTGTTCGGATCCAAATTGCCATGGTCGGATGATTTGCGGATGGATTTCACTAGCGCTCTCCCACTACTGGAGTTGAAATGCTATACTATCATCCATGGTGTGGACTAAGCCCTCGGAGTAAAGCTGCGTGAGCCATGACCGCTTGCTATTTAACAGAGAATTGGTTGCTACAAGCTCCACTCAGATCTTGGTGGCTAACATAGTCTCTTTATCCCCTACCATAGTTCTTCTCCAATGTCGAACGCCTTCGTCTAGCTCAGGATGATCGCTGGGATGGTTTTCACTATCAGCGCCGCTTGGCTAGAGTGCCTCGCCGCCTCCCCTTTTGTACCCTTCAGAGTCGCTCCTATCCGCCATCCGCCGTAAAATCTATCAATAGGAATAAGAGGTGCCACCCGCACAAGTCTTTTTCCCCAAACACGACTAAGAAGCTCCGCAAAGCCGACTCGCTCCAGTTGGCCCATCTTGCCGTCCACATAGACTCGCGATGCTTTCATTCATTGCCACCTAAGATCCAGCAGAAACTCTTCTCCAAAGAAGAACGGAGTTGGTTTCACCGAACGCAGTTTGAAGCTCGGTTCTTCGATGCTGCCAGGGAAGCGCCTTACCCGCTGGAGAAAGCAAGCCGTTCCCAGCATCAGTGTCCTGAAATTCAGTCGGACAGAAACTCTGTTGCGACCTCACAGTCATCCACCATATACTTCGACTTCTCGGATTCGGATTCGAGCTCTGATAACGACATGGACAACTCGCTCTATGGTAACTTCCGTTGGTTTGAAAAGGATGGAGATCTTGACCTAAGGCTGGACGAGTACCACGCGCATGGTGCCAAGCCGATGCCGAACTTGCCACCCCAAAGGCGACTTTCTTTGCGAACGGCAGTGTCATTTAATTCAGGCGTTTCAGGCCGCAAACCAACATCGGCAGTGTCGCGTCAAAAAGCGCAACCCTTGCGACGATCGTCGACGTTTCCGACAGCGCCGATGAATATCACGGCTCGTAATTCGAGTTCTCGACCCTCACCGAGCCAAAGTCAAGCCCATGTACCTCGATCTTCCATATCCAGTATCGATCCATCGGCACAATATTATCAGGACCCCGAGGCCCGCCTTAAACTGCGGCTTTACCTGGCCTCTCCACAAAACTTTGATGAAGCTGTTGAGTTTGGTTTCCCGGCTCTAAAAAATGAGAGAAAATCCATGCCAGTCGAGCGAGCACCAGCCGAGATTGAAACGAAGCCTCAAACATTTATCGGCACGTTCCTCGACAATGAGGACACGTCAGTTTCAGACGAATGGTGTGAGAAGCGAATGCACGTACCTCGACATTCATATGTCATGCAAAACTCTCGCTCATCACACCTTGGATGCCTAGATCCAAGACACCAGTCATGGCTGTTACTACCAAGGCCTGGCAACAAGCAGCATCCAGGTAGTGACCGCGAAATGACTCTGAAGATGACGCTAACGAGACCCGACCTTCGGACGACCGTGCCACCACCCAGGGTGGACCCACTAAAGCTGCCACTGGAGGATAGTGGTTCCCACCTATGGGGATCAAGTGAGGACGAGCAAGGGTTAATGAGGAAAATGTGGCGTAAGTTTCGGAAACAGAAATGCTGAGCTTTCGCCCTTAATACCGGCTTCTATACTCAATGATTAATGATTCTTTGATTGGTATTGCTTTCACATACATGAATAGACTTTTCCTGGTAGCTCAATCGGAAATAAGATAGAGAAAGTATTGTATCTTCCATATTAAGAAATTCCGCAAACCCTCGGTACCCACCAGTGACTTCAGAACATGATATAACAAGTTGTTTTCTAGGATTGCACGGATTTTCGATCCGTAGTCATAATTCCTATTCTAAGCTAATATGTATCATGTAGTGATCCTGGACAGTGATGAAGCAGATGTTTTTATGGTCAATTAGCAAAGATAAAAAGCGACTGCTTCGATAAGCAATCTTTACACGTGACCATGCAGCTCCTCTGAGGCCACGCAGCTGTCGACCACATTACATTCTTAGTTTGAAGCCATTTGCTTTGCGGCCCCGAACTTTTACCCACCTACCACCGTTTTATCCAGTACAAATTAGATAGTGCGTATTCGAGCCCGACCACTCGATTCTTCCTCTCTCCCGCATCACCCAAACGTCACCGGAGTACCAGCTCTTCATCGAAGCATAACATTTGTGTGTGTTTTTCAAATGTTTCAAGACTCGCGGCCATGATATCTCGATGGCTACTGCTAGTGAGCTGCCTGATATTGGCGCTCATTGCACAGCGCGGTGCTGCAAAGTCGAGTCTGCCAAAAATTGCACCACCGACTAAGATCGCTCATAAACCGAGCTCCCTCTTCTACTTCGAGGACACAGACATTGTTCTCATGAACACGGTCAATGGCGATCTGCTTCGGTCAGTTGATGCAGGCGAAACTTGGTCAGTTGTTGAGGGCAACGATGGTGGGATGAAGCATCATGTTCTTTTGATCAGACAGCACCCATATGACAATAAAAAGGCCTACGCCTTGGGACCCAAGGGCCGCCACTGGGTTACAACGGATCAAGCGAAAACATGGGAATCATTCAATATTGCTGAGTTTCCGGCGATAAGGCACTACCCCCTCGTGTTCCATGGCGGGGACTCCAGCAAAGTCATATTCCAGGGTGAGGAATGCGCTGGCCGATATTGCATTGTAAGGTCATACTACACGACAGACGACTTCGCTACGGTGAAACTGCTGCGTGAGAGCACTGGTGGATGTGCTTGGGCTGTGGGTCACCCGCAATTTGCTGAAGATCTGAACCTGGTCGATGAGATCAAGGACCGTTCGCTCTGTGTCGTCCCAGGGTTGAAAGTACCGCTTCCACACGCTAATCGTCTTGTATACTCCGATGACTACTTCAGGGGCAATGCTGAAGGCACGGAGACCAAGCTCCAAGAAGGACGACCTGTGTCAGGGGTTATTAGCACCGCTGCAGTTAAGAAATTCATCGTAGCGGCGGCCAAATCTAAAGGGACTGAGGAACTCGCATTGTACGTGACAGTTGATGCTAAGACCTGGCACCGCGCAGAGTTCGATGGCCATCGAATAGAGGAGGATGCGTACACGATGCTAGAGAGTACAAATTACAGCCTTCAGGTGGATGTTCTGACTAGTCCAAGAAGTGGCATGGGCGTGCTTTTTACTTCAAACTCAAATGGCACCTATTTCACCCGCAACATTGAACACACTAATCGTAACTCGGAAGGAATGGTCGACTTTGAGAAAATTGCCGGTATCCAAGGGATTGTGCTGGTCAACACTGTACAGAATCCAAAGGAAGTTGAATCTAGCTCCGCCAAAAAGAAGATCACCAGCAGGATTAGCTTTGATGACGGCAGGACTTTTCAGCCCTTGAAGTCAGACGGGGAAAACCTGCATCTTCATTCTGTAACTGCGCTTACAAATATAGGGCGGGTGTTCTCAAGCCCAGCACCGGGGCTAGTGATGGGAGTAGGAAATACAGGCAACCATCTCCAAGATTACGCTGAATGCAATCTCTATATCTCGGATGACGCTGGGGTGACATGGCGCCGTGCTCTTAAGCATCCCCACAAGTATGAGTTTGGGGATCAGGGCGCCGTTGTTATAGCGGTGCGTGATGAAGGTAAAGTGGACAAGATCAATTACTCCCTTGATCATGGCAAAGAATGGGCGTCTGTCGAGCTCCAGCATAAGATTTACCCCACAATGGTTACCACCACACCCGATTCCACGAGTTTGAAATTTATTATTGTTGGTTCTTTAAAGGAGGATCAAGATGGCGAATATGTCATATATTCGGTCGACTTCGATGGCCTCCATGAGAGGAAATGCGATGAGGAAGACTTTGAGAAATGGCCGGCTAGGTTGGGCGAAGATGGCAAGCCCGATTGCTTGATGGGTCATAAACAATTTTACAGGCGCAGAAGAGCCAACGCAAACTGCTTTGTGGACGAGGAATTCAAGGACCCTGAGCCGATCTTTGAAGCATGCAAGTGCACAGCAGAGGACTTCGAGTGTGAATACAGACGTACCGAAGATGGGAAAGGGTGTGTCCTTCCCTCCCCACTCAGCCCCCCGGAAGGCGAATGCAAAACGCCTGATGATAAATTCATTGGCCCATCAGGCTGGAGGCTCATCCCAGGAAATGCTTGCATCCGAGATGGTGGCGAAAACTTGGACAAGGAAATCGAAAGATCTTGCAAGGACGCAGGTAGTCCACCAACTGACGGCAAAGTCGGTGTAACTTTACAGTTGTTCGAGGCAAGAGACTACGCGCAATATTACTATTTAGAACGCCAGTCTAGTAGCTCCGGCAGTGACGAAACCATCTTAATGTTAAACAGTGAGCACGAAGTCTATGTGACGCATGATCATGGCAAGACATGGGAAAGGCCGCTTAAGGGAGAAGAAATATCCAGAGTCTATCTACACCCTTATAGCAGCGACGTAGCCTTCCTTCTTACCGATGGCAAAGAGGGGTTTTGGACTGAAGATCGTGGCCATACTTTCAAACCATTTCAGGCTCCGGCCCCGCCCACCCAAGATCGCTTCCTTCAAACTATGGCGTTCCACCCACTGCACAAAGATCGGCTAATCTGGACCGGCGCCGTGGATTGCCACTCCGGTGACTGCCATTCTGACGCTTTTATAAAGAAAGGACATGGTAAGAACTGGGAACCTTTATTGAGCTATGTTCAGAAATGCGAGTTCGAAAGTCGAGAAACCCGGCCGAACAGTTCAAATCTCATATACTGCGAGCGGTTTGAAAAGCAGAGCAAGAACAGTCGACTGCAATTGTTGTCAAGCGATGAATTTTTCAATGACAATGAGGTCAAATTTGTTGATGTCATAAACTACGCTACAATGTCGGAGTTCATCATTGTAGCATCGCGGCAGCCAGAGAACCCTGATTCATTGGTTGCTAGTACGAGCGTTGACGGCAGGACTTTCGCAAGAGCACAGTTCCCGCCAAACGTTCAAGTGCCTGTTCAAACTGCCTATACCGTGCTCGAAAGCTCAACGCACGCTGTTTTCCTGCATGTCACGGCGAGCAGCACAGAAGGGGCCGAGTATGGCCCTATTATCAAGAGTAATAGCAACGGAACATCGTACGTTCTTAGCATCGATGCAGTCAACCGAAACAGTCTAGGATATGTCGATTTTGAGAAAATGCAGGGCTTAGAGGGGGTGGCTGTTGTAAACATTGTCAGCAACGTTGCTGAAGTCTCGAAAAAAGCGCCAAAAAAGCTCAAGACTATGATCACTCATAATGATGGAGCGCAATGGATGTTACTTCCCCCTCCAGCCAAGGACGCGGATGGCAAGAGTTTTGACTGTTCGGTCGTGGCAGGGAAAGGCACAGATGACTGCTCACTCCATCTCCATGGCTATACAGAGCGCAAAGACGAACGGGATACTTTTGCTTCTGGGTCAGCAATTGGTCTGATGATGGCTGTGGGTAATGTGGGTGACCATCTAGCCGGTGGTGATGGAGCGGATACGTTCATTACAATCGATGGTGGAATTAGCTGGAAGTCCGTCAAGAAGGGGAAATATATGTGGGAATACGGTGACTCCGGCTCGGTCATTGTTATTGCGCCCGAGTCCAAGCCCACTAAAACTATACACTACAGCCTCGATGAGGGCGATACCTGGGAAGAATTTCAGTTTTCGGATGTAGAAGTGCGGATCAGCGATATTTCAACCTTGCCATCCGATACCTCAAAGAACTTCCTTCTTTGGGCTAGAGTATCGAATTCTGAAGTTCAAGATAAGTTCGCCACGTTCAACATTGACTTCAGCGGAATCCGGCCGAGACCATGCTTGTTGGATGAAAACCAAGGCGATAGTGATGACTATTATATCTGGGAGCCAAAGCACCCTTTCCAGGAGAATAATTGCCTGTTTGGTCACAGTGAACAATATCACCGCAAAAAGCCGTCAGCCCAATGTTGGAACGACTGGCGAGAATCCCATGTCCACAGCATCGGAACGAACTGTACATGCACGAGAACTGATTATGAATGGTAATTGTTTCATTTATATTCCTCCGCGGATTCGCTGATAATGTGCGAAGACTAACGTTGGCCAGTGATTACAACTATGAACCTCAGAGCGATGGTAGCTGTGCTCTTGTTCCCGGACTTCCTAAGCCGGATGCTATGGAAGTCTGTAAAAAGGATCCTGACACAATCGAGTATTGGGAGCCAACCGGATACCGCCGCATTCCACAAACAACTTGCCAGGGCGGTCTAAACCTGGACCATTTTGTCTCCAAACCCTGTCCTAACAAGGAGGGGGAGTACAAGCAAAAGCACGGCATAAGTGGCGTGGGTCTGTTCTTTGCCATCGTGACCCCTCTTGCTGTGGCAGGCGCTGCTGGTTACTATGCCTATAGCAGGTGGGATGGTAAGTTTGGGCAAATTCGCCTTGGTGAAGATGCCGGCACTTCGCGAACCTTCCTGTCCCGAGACTCATTGTTTGTCACGGTGCCAATTGCAATTGTGGCAGGCATCGTGGCTGTTGCCAGAGCTCTTCCACTTTTAGTTGCGAGTTTGTGGCGGAGTGCCAGTGGATTTATTCGCCTTGGACGAGGCAGGGGTTATTCAAGGCCCTACGCATCTCGTGGTTCGTTTGCAGCGCGCCGAGGCGATTATACTAGCATTGTCGACGATGAGGATGAGCTTCTCGGCGTAGAAGACGCCGAATTGGATGAAGAGGATGAGGCTTGATCGCGTCCCTTACATCTCGATGCTTTCGGTCAACTCCAAGGTGATTCTACGATTTATGTTATATTACGGAAGTAGTATGTCTTGTATACTGTGTTGTGAATTTATAGTGTGCTGTTGTGTGATCCACTGTATCCGTTAATCAAATCAACCCTGTTCTAAAGCAGGTTGCCTTCTTCCCCTGTTTCCCTATTTCGCCTTTTCCATTTTCCTTTATTGCTATTTCCTGGATGGATGTCACACCTACAGAATAAGGGGTAACCTGGTTCATCCGATTTAGTGGTCTTGAGTGATCTTGGATTTCCAAATAGCATATCAGATGTCTCCCGAAAAATGACATCTGGGAGCAGAAGGAAAATATGATCCCAATCGGAGGCCCCACAGCTCTTTTGATTGTATCAGCTAAGTAGTCAAATATTTTATCACTCGAAGTACAGCTTCCTTAATAACGAAAAAGCTTTTTGGTCGACCTTAATAATTTGACCTAAAGCTTTATACGATGTCATGTAGCCATTATGTAGGTCCACACATAGTGGATCCATCCCTTAAAAATAGTGGCAAACATTCTCTGTCAGTGTCCTTGTATGCACGCATCTTAGAGGCAACAGAAAGAGTAGCCTCCAATGGAAGCCCAAGTAACATGGAAGGAGATGAGTCACCATAACTATGATGAGTACACCCTTTCCTTTGAGAAATCTTCCGGTCCGAATGAGTCGGGAAGCAGCTGCAGGAGGAGCTTGAGTCAGTACCAATGGGTGTAAATCACGTTTCCAGTGAGCGTTTAGATATGAAAAATGAGAAAGACAACACGATAGGAACCATCTAACAAAGCGGTTACACACCTCGCGCATTGTCTTGATAGTGTAGGTTCCTTCCGAGCCATACATGTAAATCGGAAAAGAGGGAGTTGTGAATTCGTTCATGCTATACATTTATCGTCAGCGGCGCAAATGGTGCTAGTAATGAAGCATCACAAAATACTCGAGAGGGCCATGTGCGAGCCTCTCATCATGCCCATCCGCCAAAGACAGAGAAACGAAGCAAGAAAGGATAAAGCGAGGGAGGGTTCAAACTTACAACTGTCTGCACATGCCGCATGGGGACGCTGGAGGGTTACTATCGGTGGCGATAGCAATAGCTCTGAAGTCATGATATCCAGAGACCTACAAATATCGTCCTGAGTCAATGGGCAAGTCCCGTGCAATTTACAAGGTAGCCGGTGGAGTTCACAACTTACGACAGCAGTACCAAAGGCCACTCGTTCTGCACATGTGCCAACAGGATAGGATGCGTTTTCGACATTGGCACCGGTGATGTATTCACCAGACTGGGTGAGAATACATGCTCCAACGCGGAATTTAGAATACGGACCTTTAGATACACTTAGAAATCAGAGAGCGCATGGAGCGGTGGCAACGAGCAACGGAACTCTTATGTGATGCATTAGTTGCACCTGACTTACAGTAGGCCGTAGCTTTAGCAGCGATCGCCTTAGAGGCAAGGGCCTTCAGTTCCTGGGCAGTAAGAGTGGATTTAGAAGAAGACATGTTTATTAGCGCCTGAAGTATTTCAATTATCTCAGTAGGGATGGGAGGCGATAAGTGAATAAATAGCGTAAGTTATTATAGAAGAGGGGAGGGGTCTGGGTTCGGCCGTGGAAAGGAGCTCCGCTATCAGGAGGATTTATGTCATTTGGCCTGCAACTAGTACGATGCATACCCCACTTGCGATTATGCTGGTATGTATCTTCGTTTGTGATGTGTAGATATGAGATGGGCCAAAATTATGGGACTATGAAGGCAATCAAGGGGATTCCCCCAATGAAAAGCATCAGGTCTCGGTGCCCGTTTCAATGCATAAAAATGTTCATTAGTCGGCCCATTGTTTGGGTCTCTTATATACAAAGATGTGAGATAGCTATACAAAATATCTAGAACTCGGGTTCATGAAGGTAGAGGAAAGAGGAAAAACTATACGAGCAGAAAAAAGGAGTTCGGTTCTCATGCCAACGCCCGACGAGTTAACTCTCTTGGAAGCAACAAGATGCATTTGGGGGGGTTCCTTTTTGTCTTAGAAAAGAAAAGAAAAATACTCTAGTGGCAAGAACCCCCCCCCCTCAAAACAAGATAATAAATAAATGACAAAAAAGGAAACATGGTCAGAGGTATCATCCAATATAAAAGCAGAGAAAAGAAACGTCTAATGTAGAGCAGATTATCCAAAATAACTCCGTAGTCCTTCGTAGACTGTAAAAATGAAGGCTGAACTAGGTGCTGATCGCGCGCAAGTTATCCCACAGCCTCGGTACAAGGCCTTGAGCCCTTGTTGCTTCCATAGAGCTTTGCCGGCGCCCCAGAAAGTTTGTCGTCGGCCATTAATTGAGCCGTGAGTTATATCTTCTGTTTGCATGCGGGATTTAATTGTATCTGCCGGATAAAATAGAAAATTGTAGCTTATACCAGCTGCTGCTCCAGCAATCATTTGTTGATAAAGCGGGAGAGAAGCCGATTGATGCTCTGAACCGCCTTTTGAAGCGGGTGTGGGATATGCTCGGAAAAGCGCTGAAACTCCCTCGTAGCCGCCAAACCAGGCGGCACCCCCACCAGTCTCTCGAATGAGAGTGCCCAGCTGCCCTCGCCAAAATCCCAGGATACCATCTTGGCGGAAGATAGATGCGACCAAAGCCAGTGGACTAGCCCTTGCACTGGAACCTTCCAGAGGAACTTGCATTTTGCACTTGATAAGTTCAATGGGAGTGAGAGCAAGCGAAGTGATGGACCCAGATGCAGCACCACTGACCAGTAAGGCTGAGAAAGGCAATGGGTCCGTCGAAGAGTAATATGTTGACTTTAGGACATCTTGGATCATGCGATAACTCCAGAACAAGCAGCTATTCTCTATAGCAGCACCGGCCATCGGAGCGCTGAGACCTCGATATAATCCTCTAAATCCATCGGCCTGGAATGACTGCCGAAAGCAGTCTATTGGCCCCTTGTATCGAAGAGGTAAATGGTCGGGTTGAGACTGTAGCCGCACCTTTACCGTGTCAAAAGGGTACTCTATGACCTTTCCAGCCATTCCTGCTGTCTTTGGGTGAATAGTTAATACAAGCAGCGCTCTACGGAGTGCGGTAAGCAGGATTACTTACGGACCCGAACATTATATCCTTAAACGCCTCAACCCCCTGATTGGGTGGAAGTGTAGGGAGTTCCATTGACATATCATTCTTGAGTGTGATCGCATGTTCTGCAGCCGCCATGGGAGTAAGGAGGGAATTTACGTCTGATCCAACCAAGAAAAAATGAAAAAAGGAAAAAGAAGGGGAAAGATGAGAGCGAGAGAGGTGAAACTCTATCGGTAGGACATCGTATGGTTCCTTGTAGAATCGGAGGGAAAGAGTATTTAAGGTAAGATTTTGGAGGAGCCTGAAGGAGGGGGGCGGTGTAAGTGTGGTAATCAACGAGTGGTTTCTAGGTCAGCCCGAACCCACGCGCGATAAAATCAGCAAGTCAGCATCGCCTGCAGATGGAAAATGAAGCCAAGACGCGGGATTTTGGGAACAGTGGGGAGCTTCTGCAGCAGTAGTGGTGATAATTTCAACTAGAGCAGCGACCGGGTAAGAATCGTGGATGGCAAATCCCTCATTGCAGATGTCAAAGTGGGCATCGGGTGAAGACTTCTGCCGAGATCCGTTTATCTGATCGGCCTAAGATAACTTTTTCCTCAAATTTCGAGGCCGCAGAGCGGCCAGTCCCTCCGCCGAGGAAAACCATAATTATATCAACCGCTTCTCATCTCTCACAGAGCCCCTTTCCGAGTTCCGCCTCTTTGCGCCATTCTACTTAATCTACTATTTTCTTTTTCTGCTGGCCATGTCATCCACGGTATCGGCCACTCCGGCTGATCCCACGAAGGGCATGCGTAAAAACGGTATGTAATAGATTCTCGCTCCCCACTTATCCCACCCTGCCCTGCTAATTTTTCCTACCTCGGACCCGCAGGAAAAAACTGGCACGATACCAAAAAGCCGTTCCGACCTAACGCTGGTCTGACCTCGTACGAAAAGAGACTGGAGGCTCGCAAGCACCAGGAAGCTGTCAAAGAACACGAAAGGGAACTCAAAGAAGAGAAGGAGGCGGAACGGAAGGTATGCAGAACGAATATCATTGAGCATTGGGAGCTTTATGTGCGAGCTTACTGACATCCTTGCACAGGCGCATATCCAGAGAATCAAGGAGCGTAGGGCTGCGAAGGAGGAGAAGGAGCGTTACGAGAAGATGGCGGAGAAGATGCATCGCAAACGTGTCGAACGATTGAAGCGTAAGGAAAAGCGCAACAAATTGCTCAACTCGTAATTGTGGTGGGAAAAAGTTGTCTTGGTTTCTTTTTCTTTTTCTTTTCCCACCACTATTATTACCATCCATTATTATTTTCCGCCTATCATCACCGTCTTGTTTATGATTTGTTCGGCGTGTATGGCGGGTAGTTTGCTTTTTTTTCTTTTGTTGCGTTCTTAATTCCGATCCTCAGGCAATACAAAGATCATACTTACGGTGCAAGTTATTGGTTGGGTGGCGACACAAGGAGTTAGGTGTATGATATATGTATGTACATGTATATATATATGTGTGTGAATGTATATATCCATGAACTTAGGATATTTGCTGTTTCACTGACTAGCTTCGTTTGGTTCTAGTGATATGTACAGTTGGACGGGACTAAACCTAGGTGGTCCGGTTTGGCTTCTTTATTTCCTATAAATAGTTCCTATAAATATTTCCGTGTAGCCATTGAATTAGTATAATTGGGGCCCGTTGATCATTTTTGAAGTTTTAAGAGATATTAAGACACCAGCTGAAGGCAAGCGTCGATCGGTCTTGGCGTCGTGTTTCGCATGATCACAATAGTGAGGTTGTGAGCGACACATGCTGGTATAGTTTCCCACCCTCCGTACTGTCTTTACGTCCCAGCTAAAGCAAGAGGGGTGGTGGTGACGGAAAATAAATGGAGTCTTCAATGAGAAACTCTTTGCCCGCGTTGCTGTCGCCATCCAGGCAGCTCTCCGCTTCTCACCCTTCCACTACCCATGGCTCCTGTACCGCCGGAAGCCACAAGCCTCCCACCCAGGCCCCGTCCCACGCCGATGGACCGTTTGCAGCCCCCAGAGGCGGCGATTATGTTGCTTGGAACAGCAGCCGAGAACCACCGGTTCTACAAACTTATCATGACCGTACCGATCCCGAAAACGCTTCAGGGGCGCATCGAGAAAAACACCATCGCCATTTGGCCTTTGACCCTGCCAGCCTAGATCCTACCAAGTTCAGGCCACAGCATAAGCATAAGCAGAGCAGATCTCGTGACGGGCGGTTCCCACGGATAATGAACCCCATCGCCTCCTCCGCTAGCGCTAGGGGCTTACTGCCCCCATGGTCTGGTGGTCGCGAGAAAGAAAGCGATCCCGACGATGGACTTGCGTTACTTAGACCTGTAACGAGGGAGACAACTCGGTCGCGCTGGGGATCTGAATCCACAACGGGCCTGGGTACTGGCAGTAGGAAAGGCAGTATATTCGATGAAATTGACCGGAACAATCACCTGGGTCTGATCAGACGACAGGAGATACGCTCGCTAGACGATTTGGATCAAGTACGAAATAAAAGGAAACAAGGGGAGCGGTAGGTAACATTCTGCCCTGTTCCTTCCAGTTGATCTAACGGGCTCGCTGGTAGCTTCTTGCGATCCGCTTTATCAATAATCGGCACACTCGCAACAGATATCACCCGCAGGCTCGACTATACTTACTATAATCTGTTGGAGAAGCTCGCCGCTCTCCACGTTACGATCGCTTCTTTCCAAGATCTCTCTGGTTCAGCATCGACACTCTTCACGGACTTTGAACGAGAGACCAATAATTTGGATCAGGACATTCGAAAGCAGATCGGGGAGCTCAAAGACTTTCAGCCGCAGATGCAGAAGATCGAGGCCCTAGAAGAACGTATGAAAGCGGGAAGAATCAGAGCCGAAGCGCTTAGCTGTAGGTTGAAGAGATGCGGAAAGAAATCGACCGCTGGGAGAGAAAAGAGGCAGAGTGCCAAATACGAATTAGTCGCCGCCTCCGTATATTTTGGGGCTTGGCTACAGTAGGAATTCTGACTCTTGCCGTAGCTCTTATTGTCCAGAACTGGATTATCCTGGAGTCGCCGGAGTCTGCCATGACTTCGCAAGCAGCGACTGTGACAAACGGCTCTACTGGAGCCCTTGTGCACAACCACGAAAGTGGGATGCGTTGGCTGGCCACAGATATCCCCGGAGATCCATATGTGCTGCCTCAACATTCATCAAAGCTGATCTCTCGTCACGATACCCGTTACTCTACTGACACGGCAACCACGACGTATGCTACTCCCGAAAATGCGAGGGCTACTGACCAAGATCCATTGAGAATATTCGACGAACTCTGACAGGCGATATTTCTAGAGTCCTAGAGTTCAACGAGATACACCTTTCTTTGTCAAGGCCAGCCTTGAATTCCTTGAATAACCTATCGAGACTTTTATACTATTGACATGATACCCAATATGCAACACTGAACTTGTACATTATGCGTCTACGCTGTCAACCAACGATAGTTCATCATTGGCTAACTGCCTCCCTTCTTTTTCTTGTCAATGATTTCAATATTCGCTTCTGGTATTTCCTTCCCATAGACTTCCAATAGCCAGTCCTGGACATCATCGCTCACGTCACCTTGTACTGTAATTTCCTCATTTCCCGCAGCAGACCGGGTGACTGAAGAACCAGTTGCAAATTTCTTACCGAGGTCCTTGGCAACCTTCTTATTTTCTAGACCATATACTTCCAAGCCTGCGATGACCGTGACATGCTTGCGTTTGTTCCGTTCAACACGCTTGATTTGGACCTTGGACGCTGCCTTGCGCTCTGCATCGCGTGCTTCTGCCAGAGCAGCTTTTGCCTCCTTCTTAGCAGCGTCCTTCGCTGCACGTTCCTGGGCAGATATAGAAAGTGTCGATAAGTTAGCGCTGATGGCTTCTGCAAAGGAACGTAATGCCGTTAGTCTGTTCTTCGCTACACTATACTAAAGTGATGTTTTACTGTACCTTCAGAGTGAAGTCGTTGGTACAATTCCGGTTGTTTCTCTTTCAGCCATTCCTCGCATTTTTTCGCCGTCCCACCAAACTCGCAGTACTAGAAGAATTGCAAGTCAGTCAAACTGCAAGTTATCTTGTTTCCTGCCCAACAACCGGGGCGGGGCAAGTCCACAAAAACAGAGAAGAAGAAAAGAGGAAAGGAGAGAACTTGTGGACTTATCACGACGAATAAAGAGATTCATACCTCTGGAGGCAGTGTACAAACTGTAAATCGAACAAGTCAGTGATGTCTATCCACAGTCCCTGCGTTGTGTCTCACAGAGTAAAAGAGGCGACTCACCCCCGCAATATACGACATGACGGGCCTGGGATTCGACGGGGCCAGATTGCACCACTTCAGCCATTCTAAAAAGTGGCTATTGGGTTCTCTTGTACTTTCTTTGGTTGTATGGGCAGCAAAAATGACTTTATTTTGCGGGTAGAATTGATCGTTAAAACCGAAGCCTAGAGCGTGATATCGCCGCGGGGTTGGACTTGCTGCCAGACGCACTAAACTGTTTATAGTATAAACTCACTTCTGGATCATGTGATTCTGGGATTGGCTGGTTGCCCTCATTGAGTACCTGACTGATTGCGCAGCGGAGCGAAGCGTAGCAAGCAATATAGGAGACTGCTCAATCAGATCTATGTTTTAATTAGTCCACAGTTCTAGATTCTAATTAGACAAGAATTCACCAATAACATCATTCCTATTTTATCTTATATAATTACCTCAAGCCAATTTCTCGAGCTTTTGAATAGCCTGTATAGCCTAGATTTCTCGGGCTTTTAAATGCGGTGCAATACCTAGATCTCTCAGGCTTTTATACACAGTATAATATCTAGATCTCTCGGATTTTTAAATACAGGACAATATCTAGATTTCTCGGGCTTTTGAACGCGGTACAATACTTATATCTCTCAGATTTTTGAACGCGGTGTAATGACTAGATTTGTCAGACTTTTGAACGCGGTATAATAACTAGATTTCTCGAACTTTTGAATCGTCTGCGTAATCTAGATTTATCAGACTTTCAAACGCGGTGTAATATCTAGATTTCTAGAGCTTCTGAATGCAGTGCAATAACTAGATTTCTTAGACTTTTAAATAGCCTACGTAGCCTAGACTTCTAGAGCTTTTAAACACAGTATAATGACTAGATTTCTTAGACTTTTAAATAGTCTGTATAGCCTAGATTTCTAGAGCTTTTGAACGCGGTGCAATAACTAGATTTCTCGGACTTTTGAATCACCTGCGTGGCATAGAATAGATAATCTAGATAAATAATCCAGACAGTATAGTATAGTCTATTTAAATAATCTTAATAATTTAGATAATATAATAAAAGATTATGGGATTCTTTCGCTGCGCAAGTATTCTGCTTGTTCCTGGAGCTGGCAGCCTCTAGTATTACGCTACCGTTGATCAAGGACTTAATCAAAGAGCTTTGGCTCACTGCAAGAGTTGGCCCTCTTGGTCTTGGAATTGTTGGAATTTGATAGGTTTACAGTGTCATCAAGACATATAAAGGTTCAGCCTGCACTTCTATGCTACCAACCATCTTGTCTCTCCTTGGGAACCGTCGTAATAGGGATCTATAGGCACACGGCCTTGAAATGTCCCGGTACTGAGTGTGGGGCGGATCAACTTTCTGTGGAAAGTGAAATTCACACCTATCGTACCCCTGGACGGCACATTCCAAGGAGTGCTCTTTCGGGCCTTGCAGAAATTAATCATAGGTATGAAGTGGTCTTGAGCTTCACTACACTGAATCGGTGCCACAAGCTACCTGATTATTGTGTATATCGGCTTGGACAGAAACTTGTTGCATCTAGGCCTTTGCGACTGATATGTTCCGGAACTAATCTCCAAAACTATGAAGATGGGTTGACATCTGTGTGCTTTTACTAATCTGTTCCAAGGCTTTATACAACTTTTCATTCTTTCTTCACAGATTCACCATTAAATTGCCGATGATGTCGCGTAGCCTCCCCTGCAATGGAGCTGGCAAACCCTTTTTCTCTCTATGTGCTCCATTAAGGACTGTGATGAATTTCGTTAGCGCATCAGACATAAAGAATCCATAGACACTGCACGTCAATGCTTGTTGAGTGTACTTATCCAACACCTTGAGGCTGGAGAAGGGGAATTTGGACGTGACACAACGATCGATATACATGGGTCCTAGTGGCTTACGAGGCTACTTATATATATTTATATTTTTCAAAACCGGTCTGGACCGCACCTCCGCCTTCCCCTACGATTACATCAGTTTCTCCCGTAGCAAGCATGTTAGTGCTATTTATCCTACTATAAGATCATAGAAATGGTCATGAATTGTTGAGCATATATAGCTGAGTTGGCCAAACGAGCTATATTGTGGCACTAGGAGAGTTTTACCTATTTGCCTCAGGTTAGCGTTTCCCACTCCTTCACAGCCTAATAAGGCTTCTGGTTCTTTGATACCAGATAATAGACACTACTCTAGAGACAGATGTCCATTGCTTCCTTTCCCGGATTAAGAGCCTGCAGATAAAGAAAACATTAAAGAGAAACAGTTCTCGATATTTCACTGAATCAAAATTACTGCGGAGAACCAGAACATCTCCATTTTTCTCTTGACATTTACCTCTTCTATCAAGCAGTATAATATTCCCTCAATAGATATATCTTATTTAGTAATGCACTCCCTGAAGCTTCCGCAGCAGCAGCACAATTTATCCGTCAAAGGAGAGAAATATAGCATCTGAGTTGAATCACCTTTCAGAAGGCCTGTAGGTCGTGGACAAGAAACTTAGAAAACCACGGACGGTCTTGAAATAGCGAACTCTCCCACGTATCTTACTTGGAAAAAGCGAGGGACATGATAAGAACCCGAAATCATCAGCGAGTGGATCGAGGAAAATATTGATGATCGACAGGTTGATCAAACAAAACATTACCTGAAGCGAAGAATCGTTGGGGGGTTGGTGGTGTTGTTTGTAGCTTTGCAACATGTACAGGAACAAGAAGCAGCTCTGAGAATTCTAGCAACCTTACAGTCGTAACACGGCCCGGGCCTAGGTTAGAGTCTTACGTGAGAATCCACTTATTTCCAGAGCGAAATCTATGCTTATACCAAAATATGTACAACAAGAGGATCATATCGTGTCTTAAGTCAATTCGCCTTGAACCACACTCACATAGAAGCACCTGGGCAGAACCCCTATTATTGATCCTTAGGTGTTGTAGACTTTTGACTTGGATCAAACCCCCAATAGCTACTGTATTGCAGCATTTCTGCTCCGGTCACTTAACATCCAAAACCCTAACCAACAAGGAGCCTCTGACGAGACTAATAGTCCTGTATATCTTCTGTCTAGAATAAGATCATCATGATATCTCTGCCTCCACTGACAAGATACGTCTGGAAGCTAGCTACTCCGGTCTGACCCCTGACTTGCACTGGTCGGCAAATATGTCATTGATTTGTGTAACGGCCAGCAACAGTTAACTATTTGATGAAGGTATATAGGAGATATCAGTGATGTGAGCCTCAAGGCATGGATCTTTGATAAAGGAAGATGTTGCAATATTGTGAGATACAGCCCGGATCGTTTCAAGGTAGGATTGGTCCAACTCAAAGGGGGGTGTGATCCATTTTGGGAGTACCAAGTAGGATCGTTGGGCTTTTAGTCTAGACAGTCGTATCTAGAACCAGGATCGAATGGTCTTTTGAAGGCACACACATGTCAATACCCGCTATACACCGTAGGAGTCAGACAGCCAAAATGTTTCCCAGCAGGATCTCCCCAGCTAAGGGGGGGAACGACAGGAGTTGGTAGGCTGTAAAATCATTTCGGGCGGCGATGGCACAGGGCCTCTCCGCGTCTGATCCTTCCCGTTCATAATCAAGATTCACCCCCGGTGAACAGTTGGCAAGCCCTAGCCATCTTGATCGGAAAAAGGTTAACCAGGCAGGAATGCAGGAGCACGGGCGCCAGTTTCCGGACTCAGATCCATCGTGCCGGGCTTAGGCGCTGTCAGTGCTTCGGTGAGTTTAGACGCCCCTTCCACCTGTTGGACCAAACCGATGATTAAAAAGGCCGCGCGGACCCGCTGCTGGTACTTTTCTAGTTGCATAATACTCAATGGTGAAAACACGCGCCGCTCGCACATAAGAAGATAATGGCGTGGCTAGCTACTTTTCCTACATTAGTGATGATCATGAACGGCAAATGAGACAATTTATCACCCCAGCATATGCTTGTCTCAATTGGTTGACAATCTATATAATGATATATGTGTGCGTATATGTACATACGACTAGTAG